CCCTCAGTGGACCTGCTGCCTCCCCCTCCTGCCTTTGGATAAAGCTGCCCCAGGTTGCCGGGTTCGGGGGGAGGGCTGGAAATGACTGGCGGCCCCCCTCTGCCTGCTCAGGTCACCAAACTCTGACATGCTGCCAGCCTGGCTGAGAATGCCCACGTCTGGAGTTATGACGGGACACCCCTGAGAAGCCCCTGCCCCCCAGGCCGACTCCAGGTGCTACCCAGAAGTCCCCTCCATACACGCCACTCACAGCTCAGGGATGGAGGGCCTGGGACTTCACGTTCAGGGCTCCAGGCCTGGGACAGGGGGCTACAGTCAGGGCGAGGAGGGTGCCGACGTGTGTTTTCAGCCTCAGGAATAAAGATTTGTTGCCTAGCTCTGGGCTCTGCTGTGGCTCGGTGGGGACTGGGCAGGGGTGGCGGTGGCCTACAGCTCTGGCTCCTCACCCTGCTCATGCCCCAAAGCAGAGACTGGGGCCAGAAGCTGGGAGAGGATTGGGGGAGGGGCAGGCAGGGAGAGAACACAGCAGGAGAGCTGGGGGCCGGGCCGGGCTGGGGGCACCTCAGAGTCAGCTCTCTGCCCATCTCGCACGGCCCTCAGCCCTGTGTCCTCGGCTATTATAAAATAGCTGGAACCAGAGCTGCCTCTTACGGGTAATTGATCCTGGGGAAACCTGCTTGGTGCGGAGCATGGGGGAGTGGAGGGGGTGGTGCCCACACCCACCTGGCCGGCTGAGGAGCAGCAGTGGGAACAGGAGGAGGAAGCAGCATGGGGCAGGTGGTATGGAGGCTGGGGCGCTGGATCCCATGTGGCCGACTTCGCAGTCTAGCAGGATTGCGAGCCCAGAGCCCAGCGTCTGGCACGGCAGAGGCTTCGTGCAGGTGCCCTGCAGTCTGAAGGCCATATGGCTGGCCGTGGCTTCAGGTCCCCAGGTCGGCCTGAAGACACGTATGGGCACCTAAGGTCTGGAAGAGCTGGAGGGCTGCAAGAGGGACTGCAGCGTGGGGGGACCCCATCGAGAGTGCTTTCTCTCCCGTGTGTACACGCACATGCGCTATCAAAGGGCAAAACCACAGGGCCGGCAGGTGGTGTAGCGCTTAACTTGACTGGCAGGTGGCATGGTGGTTTAGGTGCTGGATTCCCACATGACCGACTGTGGTTCGAGTCCTGGACCTGGTGGCTTGCTTTCTCACTCTCCTTCTCTCTCTCTCTGGTCAAATTGAAGAAGAATAATAAGTAAAATTAAATAATTAAAAAAAAAAGACCTAGTAGCTTGAAACTCATGCCAGGTACATGTGTGTGCATATCCGAGATCTCAAGAAAAAGAATGGGGCACACAGGATTGTGGCATGACCATCTCCCTTGGGGGGTGATTTCTCACTTTCACTCTCACTGTCTCTTTATCTCTCTGGAGAGCACAAGCACCCTAAGGCAAAAACCTCTATTAAAAAAAATATATGACAAAACCAGGGGACTGGCAGCTGGCGTGCTGGTTATGGCGCTGGACTCCACATGGCCGACCACAGTTCGAGTCCTGGACCTGGCAGCTTGTTTTCTCTCTCTGTTGCTTACTCTGCCTCTCTCCAAATTTTAAGATGATAATAATCCTTAAAAAAAGGTAAAAGAAACAAAAATGCCAACATTTGGGCACATGGCCCAGCAGGCAGTAGGTCTTCAGGCCAGCTGACACTGAGGGATGGGCTGGGAGTAGGTGGGGAACTAGACTCCGGGTGTCAGTAGAGCAGGAATAAAACAGGACTTTGCACTGCGGGCCACTCAGCGAGGGTTTTTTTTAACTCTTTTAATTTAATATTTCTGTCAGTTATGTGCACTCACCAGAGGGAGAAAGAGGGACAGCGAGAGATCACCTCTCGGGGATAGTCCTGCCGCAATCCCTTCTCCTCCATTCTCCTCTCAGAGCTTGGGTCCACGTGCACACACGCCTGGAATGACTTTCGAGGTGCTGGTTGCAGGACTGGAACCACACAGTCGGCATGTGGGATCCAGCTGCCTTAACCTCGACGCCGTCTGCTGGCCCACTCAGCGAGTCTTCAATAAGTAAATGCCAAGAATTGCTTAAAACCGTGCTGGGCTGGGGTCGCCTGCTCAAGCTCAGACACACCAGGCTTTGCAGGCAGTCAGGCGCTGATGAGGCGCTGGGCTCAGTTCTGGGCCCTGAACGAACCCTGCCCTTCAAATCCCTGAGGCACCTTGCCGGTCACATGCGTGCCAGGCACGGTATTTACAGGTCATCTGTCCTCTCCCCGCCCTCCAGGGCCTTGGCCAGGTAGCCCGAGCCATTTGCCCTGTCACAGGACGCCCTGGCAGCTAGCTGGCTGAATGAAGCCCGCATGCTCAAGTGCGAGACAGGCCTCAGATGAGAAGGCGCCCACAGTGAAGAAGGCGTCGCAGACCGGCAGGGTCACCTGAGAGCAGGGACTTTGTTACCTGAGATGGTCACGGTGGGGAGGCTCGGGGTGCAGGTGCCGCTTGAACTGCAACTCCAGAGCGAGAAGGTGACCTTAGGAGCGGGAACAGCGGTTCTGGCACGGGGAGGAGCAGGCATGTCCAGGGAGGCCTTGGGGCGAGAGCAGCTTGGATGGAAGAGACCACACCACAGCTGCAGCTTTTAGGCTTTTTCCAACAGTGAGGGAAAAGTGTTGGGGTTTTTTTAAGGTTTTTGCCAGAGGGTGCATGCTCTCCCTGGAAGGAGACAGAAAAATTGCGAAAGCACCTGCTGGCGGATGGTCTTCACCCCTGCCATCTCGTCTTCACTCGTCTTGGGATTTGGGGCACGCGTGTACATGTGTCCAGCGTGATTTTCAAGACTCCAGGTCTGGTGTTGCAGCAAGCCAGACGCCGAGGAATGCAAAGCAGCTCTCAGAGAGATGAGAACTGTTCATTGGGCCCACGCACAGAAGAGTTAACACTGAGTCTCCAGCCCCCACTGGGGGGTGGACATGGTCTTTTTTTTTTTTCTTTTTTTGGAGGTTTTTTTTTTTTTTTTTTTTTTTTTTTTTTTTTACGGGTGTTGCCCCCCCCAAAGGGAGACAGAAAGCGAGAAATCAACCCCCAGGGGGGATGGTCTCGCCGCAATTCCTTCTCCTCCATTCTCCCCTCGGGATCTTGGGCATGCACGCACACACGCCCGGCATGAGATTTAAGCCACCAGGTCCGGGACGCGAACCGCGGTCGACTACATGGGAGTCCAGCGACATAGCCATTACGCTAAGTGCTGGTTCCCTGGACATGGTCTTTTATGAGGGATTTGGGGAAGGGGCTCAAAACCCGCCCAAGCCCTAGCCATCAAAGGGAGGAGGCAGAGAAGCAGGAAGTCTAATCAATTCAAGATACTATATTCAAGGTTTTCAGGTTACCCTGTAGCTGGGGGGTGGTTTTTCATCCTCCAGGTCCCGGGGTCCTCTGGTGCTGTGGCTTGCTTCACTGGCAAGTGGTGGGTTCATGGGGCTAGCCCTGCAACTTTAACTCGTTTCTGTTGGGGACCTCAGGAGCGAACACTCGCCATTCCTCCTCCAGGGCGTTGTCACATTGGATTTTGGCAGGACTGACCGTTAAAGCAGCTGAGCCTGAAGAGGATTTGCACTCTAAGTTGAGTAGGTCTCTTCCCAGCAATGGGACTGGGCAATCAGGCAGGTCCAAGAACTCGTGGGTAACTAAGGGACCCCCAACTGGCAGCTTCTTGCCTGCAGGAAAGGCTGGTGGTAGAGAGCTGCTCTGCGTCTGCAATGCCCATCAGCGCCGACCTGGCGGCGGGGTCGGGGTCCTTGGGTCTCCCGAAGGGCATCTGAAGAGTGAGGTTGCCCCAGGCTGCAGCAGCTTGCCGAGTGATGGAGGGTGAGGACGAATCTGGGCGCGGGATTTGGGATGGCTGGTGACTTCCCCTGAGCTGCCACACCACAATCCCTTCTCTGTCCTTCTGGGGTTTGTGGTGTACACACACGCTCGGTGGTTTTCAAGCCACTGGGTCTGGGACTCAAACTGCACAGTCAGCTGTGTGGGACCCACCTTCACCCCCAGGCTGTGGGGCTGCCGGAGAGGTCTTTTTGACAGGGACTCTCCAGGTCGCGGTATCTAGCCCCCATTACCCTCCCAGCTGGCTGGGACCTCAGGCACAGGCCACGGCGTCTGGCATGTTGAGGGCTGGTCTGGGACCTGAGCCTGGGCCTCCGCTCTGGCACTAGCGGTGTGCAGCCCCGCCTTACTCAGGCCACCAGATGGTTTTGTTTTATTTTAAAGTTTATCTGTTTATTTCTTGTATAAGAGAGACAGATTGGAACCAGCGGGTGGCATGGTGGTTAAAGGCGCTGGATTCTCACATGGCTAACTGCGGTTCGAGTCCCAGACCTGGTGGCTTGCTTTCTCTATTTCCTTTTCTCTCTCTCTCTGGGCAAATTTTAAAAACGATAATAATAACAAATGGAATTAAATAACTAATTTTTTTTTAAAAAGAGAAAGGAAAAAAAAAGAAAAAGCAGAGAGAGAGGCAGAGAGACAGGTGCTCCCAAAGGGTCTACGTGCCGTGACCCACCCCAGTTCAGCCTGCCAATCACAGGCACATGAGTGCGTCCCCAGAGAGCACAGAGCCTCCCCCAACCTGGAACCGTCCCACATGGGTCACTGTCCCGCGTGGGTCCAGGTGCGTTAACTGCCGCGCTGCCGCCGGGCCCTCTGGTGGGTTTTCGCCCGTGGTTTAGAACACTCTGCTGCCACGGGGACTGAGGCCGAGGCAGGTCATGGCCCTGTCTGGGTGATGTGCACAGACACTGCCCCCCCCCTCCCCCGTGAGAGCGGCAGCTTCAGGGCCTGGGGGGTGTGGATTGTGAGGCTGGGCGATGGGGGCGGGGGAGGAACGGGGACAAGGACACTGGGTCCCAGTCTGGCCTGCCAGTGTCCCCAGCCCCCGCCCCACCCGATTTCTGGCCAGGCTGCCTCACGCAGGCCGGCCACACTGGGGGAGCTGGGGGAGGGGTGTTTGCCCGTTGCCAGGCGCCCGGGTTCCGGCCCCTGGCACTCCGCAGCCATGCTGCCCGCACTGACCGTGCTGTTCCTGCTGGCTGCGCCGGCCCCTGCCCGGGCCTGGTCTCGGCCCCTGTGGTACCAGGTGGGGCTGGACCTGCAGCCCTGGGGGTGCCAGCCCAATGGCATGGAGGGCTGCGGCCGCAGCCTGAGCTGTCCCGGCTACTGGATGGGCCTGGGGACAAACAACATCTACCCCGTGGCCGGGGTCACGGCCAGCACCACCTTAATGCTGCTGGTGGGCCGTGCGCTGAGGCGGCGCCGCTTACAGACTCTCAAGGGTCAGGTGAGTGGGGCCCAGCTCCTGCCTCCGCGAACACCTCCACCCAGCCCAGGGCCCGTGGGGCCTCCTTCCCTGCGCTGCCCACACCCCGTGGTCCCACATCTGTCCACACGGCCATCAGCCCCGTGGCCGGCACCCACCCCCATCTGTGCTCCTGCAGGGTCTCTGCCCCTCCCCTACCACTGCAGACGCTGGAGGGCCCCACCACCCTGTCTCCCTGCCCACACCCTGGGGCACCGTCCCACACCCACGCCCCTTTCCCTGCTCCCTAGCCATCCCTCCACTCTCACCCGGCCTCTCGGTCCTGTTCCCAGGATGCCCCCGTGACCGCAGGCACCTGTGGACCCTGGAAACGGCGGACCCAGATCTCAGACCGTGCCCTGCTGCTGGGGGTTCTGCACATGCTGGACGCCCTCCTGGCCCACATCGAGAGCCACCTGCAGCGGCTCGCCACCCAGCAGCACATCCGAATAAAGGGCACGCCCTCCCAGAGTGGGTGAGCCCGCACGCCTCCCCGACGCCAGGCTCCCGTGTGTCTGTTCTCCCAGGCCTGTCCGCGCCCTGTCCCCTCTGTGGGCCAGGGGCCAGGAGGCCTGCTGAGGATGCAGTGCCCAACACGGAGGTGGGTGGGACCCAGGCTGGGTCACTCTACTCTGTCACCCCTGCAAGTGGCCCTTCATCCCCAAGGCTCCCACTTGCAGCCACCACTGGCCCTCTGGCCTGACCAGTACTTGGGGACCCCCAGTGTGGTGGGTGACGACTTGACATCACGGCAAACTTGGGTGGTCCAGAGAGGGCTGCCTGGAGGAGGTGACAGTCCGGCTGAGTCCTGAGGAGGAATGGGTGAGGGGAAGAAGACTCCAGGGGAGGCCACAGGAGTGGCTGTGTCTGGTCCCCCACACGCCTGGGCCAGGCAGGAGTGGCCAGTGGTGCAGGGCCTCCAGTGACGCGTGAGTCAGGGGTTTCCAGTGGGCAGGGGAGCCGAGGAGGGGCCTGGTCAGCAATGGCGTGTCTCTGCTGACCCCGGGGGTCCCTGCTGAAGGTCTGAGTCCGGGCCCCCAGTCACTGTGGGGCTGCACCCATGCTCGACTTTGCCCTCCCTCGTCCCCATCTCAGGGAGGCCAACGGGAGCCTCCACATGACTGGAGAATGCTCCGAAGCAGCTGGCTCTGGTGCCCTCCTTCCTGGCCCTGCGGGTCCCTGCCCGGGGGTCACTGCTCCGTGCCCGGGAGCAGCTCAGGTCCAGGAGCCTCCAGCCAGGAGCCCGGAATGCAGCTCAGGCCTGCCCTGCAGCCTGCATGGCCCTTGCTCCAAGGCCCCTGGAAAGGAGTAAGGCTGAGCCTCCCCAAGGGAGCCCTCCCCCCCACCCCCGCTCCCCTCCCTCTCACCACAGGCAATGCAGCCAAGTTGGAAAAAGCATACAAATTGTGAATTCAAAAACAGAAACAGAAGTGAGTTAAAATGAAGGGCCAGCAGGTGGCATGGTGGTTAAGATGCTGGACTTCCACGTGACCAACCATGGTTTGGGTCCTGGGCCTGGAAGCTTGAAAATTGAGCCAGGTGCATGTACACGCATGCCCAAAATCCCAGGAAGAGAATGAGGAGAAGGGATTGCAGGGCGGCCATCCCCTCAGTGGGTGATTTCTCACTTTCCCCCTCACTGTCTGTCTCTGGTGGGCACACGTGCCTTATGGTAAAAGGCTAAAAAAAATGATAATAAAAAAAGAGAAATATTTTAAAGAGTTATTTTATTATTATTATTATTATTATTTTGCGGAACTCAGTCTAGTTAGAAAATTTATTATTATTTTTAAAATTTGCTATAGGTCACATGCACTAACCAGAGAGAGAGAGAGAGAGAGAGAGAGAGAGAGAAAGAAAGCTGCCAGGTCCAGGCCTCAAACCGTGGTCAACCACGGGGGAGTCCAGCACCCTAACCACTATACCACCTGCTGGCCCCAATCATGAGCAATTAAAATTTTTATTTTATTGGGGACCAACAGGTGGCGTGGTGGTTAAGGTGCTGGACACTCCCACATGACTGACCACGGTTCGAGTCCCGGACCTGGCAGCTTGCTTTCTCAATCTTTCTCTCTCTCTGTCTTTCTCTGGTCAAATTAAAATAAGTGAATGAAAAAAAAAGTGAATGAATATTTATGTTTTAGTTTTGCACTCACTGGAGAGAGAGAGAAAGTGAAAGTGAGAAACCACCTCCCCAGGGGCGGTAGGGGATGACCACGCCTCTTCCAGTCTCTTCTCGGGATTTTGGGTACCCACACGTGTGCCCGGTGTGATTTTCAGTTGCTGAATTCAGGACTCCAACTGCTATGTCGGTCAGCCATGTGAGATCGAACCACCGTAATGACTACACCACCTGACTGGTCCCAAATTTTAAAAAATTTCAAGTTGACAAATACCGTAAGTCCAGAAAAGTATTGTATCTGGGGACCAGCAGTTGGCATAATGGCTATGTTGCTAGACTCCCATGTAGACGACCATGGTTCGAGTTCCGGACCCGGTGGCTTAAACTCGCGCTGGGAGCGTGATCCCGAGAGGAGAATGGAGGAGAAGGGATTGCAGTGTGGACATTTCCCCTGGGGGGTGATTTCTCGCTTTCTATCTCTCTGTTTCTCTCTGTGTTTCTGGTGAGTACATGTGCCCTATAGCAAAAACCTCTCCGAAAAAAAAAAAGTATCGTATCTGTGATTTCTTGACGTATTTTTGTAATGCTTTCCTCTTATATTTTCAGCTTCTTATTCTGATGGAAGGAGATTTGGGGGGGAGACAGAGGCAGGCAGGGAGACAACACAGAAGGAGAGCTGGAGGCCGGGCCCAGGATGGGGGCACCCCAGAGTCAGCTTTCTGCCCCATCTTGCACAGCCTTCAGCACAAGAATTTTGTAATTAAAAAAAAATATTATTTTATTTAACTTTATTTATTTATTTATAAAGGTATGGGAGACAAATTGTGGTCAGTCATGTGGGAGTCCAGCACCCTTAACCACCATGCCACCTGCCAGCCTCATTTTTAAAAACATTTATTTTATTTAACTTTATTTATTATCATTCTTATTTTTCAGTTTGATCAGACAGAGAGAGAAAGTGAACAAGTAAGCCACCAGGTCCAGGACTTGAACTGCAGTCAGCCACAAGGGAGTTCAGCACCCTTAACCACCATGCCACCTGCTAGCCCCAAATTTCATATATATATATTTTTTTGGGGGGAGGTTTTCGCTATAGGGCATGTGCGCTCATCAGAAAGACAGACAGATAGAGACAGAAAGCGAGAAATCACCCCCCAGCGGGGGTTGGCCACGCCACAATCCTTTCTCCTCCATTCTCCTCTCAGGATCTTGGACACGCACGCACACGCACCCGGCATGAGTTTTAGCCACTGGGTCCAGGACTCAAACCACGATCGACTACATGGGAGTCCAGTGACATAGCCATTATGCCAACTGCTGGTCCCAGATTTCGTATTTTTTTTAAGGAAATATTTTCCACATAGAGAATAGAATAATTCAGTGTGCTTTCTAACATATTTGATTGAGATTTGTGTGTGTGTGTTTTCCCACAGGGCATATATGCTCGCCAGAGAGAGACAGTGAGAAAGAGAGAGAGCGGGAAAGTGAGAAATCACCACCACCACCCCCAGCAGGAGCATGCTGCAATCCCTTCTCCATTCTCCTTTCTGAATTTCGGGTATGCACACATGTACCTGGGGTGTTTTCAAGTTGCTGAGTCCAGGACTTGAACCATAGTCAACCATGTAGGATCCAGGTAACTTAACCAGCATGCCACCTGCTGGTCCTGAAATTTGTATTTTAATTATTGATAGTTTAGAAAAGTTGGACTAGTCCCATGGCCTGGCAGTTAATAGAGTCAGTTTTCCCCGATGGCTGATTGCATGGTTCAAATCCCAGCTCTGGTAGCTGTGGGGATATGCTGGGGGCATGTGTGTGCGTGCCCTAATCCTGCCAGGATGGTAGATGGAGACGGGACTGGAGCGAGACCACGCCCATTCAGGCTACTTTCTCCTCCCCTCCGATGAGCGCACATCCCTCTGGGGAAAACTCTTTACCTTCCTAACCTGTGGTGGATGGTGTCATGCGAATGTTCTGGATGGCCGGCACAGGGGGAGCTCCTCACCTTCTCTTACAGGAGCTGTAAGATCTGGAGGGAGCTGGGGACCAGTAGACGGCGGTCACGTCGCTGGAAGCTGCAATCCAGCGACTTAAAACTCACTGAGCGCATGTGCGTGTTTTCCCCAATCCTGAGGAGAGTGGAAAAGGGATGGCAGGTGGCCATCCCCTGGGGGCTGGGGGGCAATTTCTGTCTTAGGGTCTCACGTGCCCTATAGCAAAAATCTGTAAAAAAAAAAAAAAAAAGAAAAAAGAAAAAGAAAGAAAAAAAAAAAAAAGAAAAGATTTGGAAGGAGTTGGGGCCAGCAGATGGCGGAGCTGCTGCATTGCTGAACTGCCACAGGGCCGACTGCAGCCTGAGTCCTGGACTTGGGGGCTGTGCTCAAGATCCCTGGGAGGAGAATGGAGAAGGGATTGTGGTGTGGTGAGTTCATGCCACGAGCCCTAGAAAGAAAGAAAAAAAAGACTTGGAAGGAGTTTCCAAGCGAGCTTCTGGCTCTGTGCTTTTCAAACATGCCTTCGCTCCACGGCCCACTGCTTCTCAGCGCTGGGCACGAGGGCAGCGTCTTACCGTCATGGGACTTTGCACTTCTGTCGTGACCAGCTCTGACCTGGCCCGACTTTCCTAGACACCACATTCCTGCCTTATTATTCCTAGACGGGAGTAAGACCCACAGCGGTGGAGCAAACCTCATGAATGCCATACATCCCACTGCACCCTGGGGCCACCTGGAGATGCATGGCCCAGGCCCCCTTCACGCAGGGTGGCCAGGTGACAGGCCTGGTGCAGCCATGGAGAACCTTTGCACTAGTTTCATTCTCTGCCCAACCCTTCTCCTCCCTCCCTCAGGTGCCGACCTCAAGGGTCTCTCTGTAAATATCTCACGCTCTGGTCCTCCTCTCTAAGTTGGCTTCTTCAAAAAAAAAAAAAGTTTTAAGAATTTCTTATTTTAGGGACCAGCAGATGTCGTAATGTTTACGTCGCTGGACTCCCACATGGTTAACCGTGGTTTGAGTCCCAGACCTGATGACTTAAAACTCATGCCAGGTGTGTGTGCCCAAGATCCTGAGAAGAGAATGGAGGAGAGGGGATTGTGCCATGGCTATCACCCTTGGGGGATCTCTGTCTCTCCAGTGAGTGTGTGCACCCTATAGCAAAAGTCTCTCAAAAATTACTTAGTTTTGGGACCAGCAGTTAGCGTAATGGCTATGTCGCTGGACTCCCACATAGTCAACCGCGGTTCGAGTCCCGGACCTGGTGGCTTAAACTCACGCTGGGCGTGTGTGTGTGTGCGTGCCCAAGATCCCAAGAGGAGAATGAAGGAGAAGGGATTGTGGCGTGGTCATCCCTCCTGGGGGGTGATTTCTCGCTTTCTGTCTCTCTGTCTCTCTCTGTCTGGCTGGTGAGTGCACGCGCCCTATAGCAAAAACCTCTCCCCCCCAAAATAATTTTATTTATTATAATAATTATTATTTTTGTGGGGTTTTTAAAATTATTTAATTTTATGTATTCATTCATTGATCTATGTAGGAGTATTCAGCACCTTAACCACCATGCCACCTGCTGGTTCCTATACTTATTACTTTAAAAAAATTTGCTACGGGCTGGCAGATGGCATGGAAGTTAAGGCACTGGATCTCACATGGCCAGCCGTGTGGTTTGAGTCCTGGAGATGCTTTCTCCCTCCCTCTCTCTGTCTCTCTCTCTAGTGAGAGCACTTGCTTGGTGACAATTCAAAAAAAAAAAACTGAGCATAGTGACTATTACAACTAGGAAATGGTGAATTATTGTTTAATGACCACATCCTGCTTAATGTCTGGGGTGATTAAAAAGTTCTGGGAACAGATATTGGTGATAATTACACAACATTGTGCGGTCCTGCTGCAGTCTCTCCACTTCCCCATCCTGTTGTGATTACAGGACACGCACACACACATGTGGGGCCATTCAGAACACAGTGGGATGTGTGGGAACCACCCACCCTAACCACTAGGCCACCACCAGCCCTGAGACGCTGTTGTATATTAATATACATATTTTAGTACAAGTTTAAATAAAAATAACGTGCAGGGCCAGTAGGTGGCGTGGTGGTTAAGGTGCTGGATCCCACATGGCCAATGGCACAGTTCGAGTCCTGGACCCGGCAACTTGAAAACTAGCCCATGTGCACCTGGTAAGAGGTTTGAGCATCTCTAGGGGGACAAAGGGGGCCTTAGAGAAGGACAGAAAAAAGGGACCCAGTTGAGAAATGGTGTTACAAAATCCAGTCTGCAATTCAGCGTGAGAAAGGATATTTCTGTCTTACTCCCATACCCGGTCAATTCCAGAAGGCCCATGAGTCACCAGAGGCGGCTGCCCAGTTGTGGCGATGGCCTCTGCTGCTATGTGGCCTTCTAGTGTTACTTTTTTGGGGACCAGCCTCTTGAAACACATCCTTCCGGGTGTCTACAGCATGGCACTTCCTGGCCGTCCCCGACTTCCCTCCTCTTCCCCCACCCCAAGGCAGCTGTGGGGTGGGAGGGAGGGGAGGGCTGGATTTATAAGTTATTTGGAACAGGATCTGCTGAAAAACCGGGTGTGGGTTTAGGGAGGAGTCAAGATGACGCCTGGACTTTTAGCCTGAGCAAGGAGCGCAATGGGGTGGCACCTACTGAGACAGCCACAGGAGGGACAGGTCTGCCAGTAAAGCACCTACTGAGACAGCCACAGGAGGGACAGGTCTGCCAGGTTTCACTGGAGAGGCGTGCTGGCCACCCAGGGATGGGGCAGATGGATGGGGACAGCGGCGCTGTGCACACAGACAGTGCTGAAGCCACGAGGCTGGTGAGATGACCGGAGAGCACGTGTTCGTGGTGCCGGCCCTGGGCACAGAGGTGGACAGGAACCTGGAGCACCGAGGCCCTGAAGGCCCGGAGCCCAAGCAGTCGTTGCTCTGAGGAGGAGGAAGTAGCCCATGACAGTGAGACTGAGGAGTTGCTGCCCATTGCTTCCCTGAACAGGTGTGGTTTTAGAGGAGGGTGCTGGACAGAGACAGGGAGAGAGGAGAGAGGGGAGAGGGGAGAGTGGAGGAGAGGAGTTGCGGGTCATGAGCTTTTGGGGGAACTCTGCTACAGCGAAGGTACAGAATGTACAGATGGACGACTGCAGTTCGAGTCCTGGACCTGGCAGCTTGCTTTCTCACTTTCCCCCCTCTCTGTCCTTCTCTGGTCAAATTTAAAAAAGTAAACATATAAAGTTAAATAAAGAAAGAGGTTTTTGCCTTAGGGTGCATACCCTTGCGGGAGGGAGAGAGAGACAGACACAGTGAGAGGGAAAGTGAGAAACCACACACCCCCCCCCCGGGGGGGAAGGGCCAAGCTGCAATCCCTTCTCCATTCTCCTCCTGGGATCTTGGACATACACGCACATATGCCCAGCATGATTTTCAAGCCACCAGGTCTGGGACTCAAACTACGGTCAGCCATCTGGAAGTCCAGCAATGTAAACACCATGCCATCTGCTGGTCCCGAGGGAGGGTGTTTTAACAATGGTATGATGGCTTGCAGAGTTTCTGATGAGAATTCTGCTATAATTTGTATCTTTGTTTCCCTGTATATCATTTTTATTTTTAGAGAGAGATTTTTGCTGTAGGGTGTGTGCACTTGCTGGAGAGACAGAGACAGAGAGATAGAAAGCGAGAAATCACCCCCAGGGAGGATGGCCACGCCCCACAATCCCTTCCCCTCCATTCTCTTCTCAGGTTTTCGGGCACACGAGCACATGGAGTGAGTTACAAGCTGCCAGGTCTGGGACTTGAACCGAGGCTGACCACATGGGAGTCCAGCTATGTAAACATTATGCCATGTGCTTACTGGCCCCTAATTTGTTTGTTGTTTTCACACATTAACCTTGTTTTCATTTTGTTTTAGTTTGTTATAGGGTGTGTGTGCTCACCAGAGAGAGGGGGGGATGAGAAATCATCACATGGGGTCCAGCCGCTGAACCTCCACGCCACCTGCTGGCCCAGTCTTGTCTGTTTCTGAAGTTTATGTTTATCCCATCAGCGAGTGAGAGATAGAGACAAAGAGAGATAGACAGAGACATAGCGCCTAAGCACCTGTCTCAACGCTGCAATTTGCCCTCAGCTTCAGGCAGCTATAGGTGTGCTCGGAAGTTTCTGGAAGAGAAGTGGCAACCGTCCCATGTGGGTCTGCCTCACAGGGCATGGCGTTTCACAGCTGCACCACCACCCAGACCATTTTTGAGGTTTATAGAAGCGGAATTGTATAGGCCAATACCCCGTGTGTGGTTCTTCCCCCCCCCCCCCCCCTCTGAGCACCGGAGTCCGAGTTGCAGCAGGCACCAGGAGTTTGGCCAGCCTGGGTGCAGTGTGCTTGGGGCTCCGCATGAAACTATGGTTCTGCTCTCCTGCCGAGGGACATCTGGGTTATTTCCAATTTGGGATTAGTAAAGCAAGCCACCAGGTCCGGGACTCGAACTGCCGTCAGCCATGTGGGAGTCCAGCGCCTTAACCATTATGCCACCTGCCAGCCCCTCGTTTGGCATTAGTAAAATAGAGCTGCTATGAACGTTTTTGCACAGGGCTTTAGGTGTCTGCATTTCCACCTTCCTTTGCGGCGTCTGCCTCAGTGGAGTCTTGAGCCATTTGCACCCACCCTCTTTCAGCCCTAAGGACCCAGTTTCCAGAGCAGTTGTACCGGAACCTGCCAGGAGTGTGTGGCAGCGCCAGGCACGCCACGCCCTGGCCCCTTCTTGGTCCGGTCAGCCGCGTTCTCGGAGCCCTGAGGAGATACAGTGGCGTCACTGTGACTGGACTGGCATCTCCTCAGTGGTTAACGGTGCTGAATACCTTTTCATTGCTGATCTGCTCTTTGACTCCCCTTGCTGTTGAGGATTTTTTAAAAGAATTATTTAATTTTATTTACTTACTGTTTTTAAAAAATTTGCTCCCCAGAGAGACAGAAAGTGAGAAAGCAAACCACTAGATCCAGTACCCGAACCATGGTCAGCCATGTGGGAGTCCAGCGCTTTAACCACCAAACTCCCTGCTGGCCCTGTTTTGTTCAATTTTTGATTCAGATACAAAGCAATGAAAACATGAAAATATTTGTTCATATATGATGACAATAATTATGTTTTAAAAAAAGCAATCTGGGGCCGGCAGGTGGCGTAGTGGTTAAGGTGCTGGACTCCCACGTGGAGTCCTGGCAGCTTGAAACTCACACCTGGTGCATGGGCTTGTGTGCCCAAAATCCCAAGAGGAGACTTGAGGAGACGGGACTGCAGCATGGCCATCTCCTCTGGGGGACTTCTCACTTTCTTTGTCTCGCCAGTGAGCAAAAACCTCTCTTAAAAAACCCACCAGTGTGGCCAGCAGGTGGCATGGTGTTTAAAGGCGCTGGATTCTCACATGGCTAACTGCAGTTCAAGTCCCCTACTTGGCAGCTTGCTTTCTCACTTCCCCTTTCTTGCTCTCTCTTGTCAAATTAAATAATCCTAATAACGACAAATGGAATTAAATAAATCATTTTTAAAACGCGCGTATACACACACACACACACACACACACCAGTGTCACAGGCAGGAGGAGTTTAAGGAGATAGAGCTGGGAGCAGTTTCTGGCTTTCTGTCTCTGTCTTTCTGGTAAGTCCACATGCCCTACAGCAAAAATCTTCCCCCAAAAACAAAACAGGGGCCAGCAGGTGGCGGGGTGGTTAAAGGTGATGGATTCCCATAATTCAAGAATCCCAAATCTATCTGGTGGCTTGCTTTCTCACTTTCTTTTTCTTTTCTTTTCTTTTTTTTTAAAGAATTATTTTACTTAACTTTATTTATTCATTTATTTTAATTTGACCCGAGAGGAACAGAGTGAGACAGAGAGAGGGAAAGTGAGAAAGCAAGCCACTGGGTGGGGCCTCGAACTGCACTTGGCTACGTGCTAGTCCAGCGCCCTTAACCACCACGCCACCTACTGGCCCCGCTTTCTCACTTTCTGTCTCATCAAATTAAAAAATAACAACAAATGAAATGAAATAAATAATCCTTTAAACAAAACAAAACAGTATTTATTCACTTCCTTCTAGGTCAGGCATGAGGATCTACTTCATTCTTTTGTAGTTGTTGTTACAGGGTGCCTGCGCTCTGGGAGAGAGAGCGAGAGGGAACGTGAGAAACCACTCCCCGGGGGAATGGTCACACCGCCATGGACCTCACCCCCGTGTGTTTCCACCTGCGGTCGGCCACGTGGCCACCTGCTGGCCCCAGATGTTTTTTTAAAACATAATTATTGTCATCATACACGAACAAACATCCCTTCTCCATTCTCCTCAGGGGATTTTGGGCACGCAAACGTGCCCGGTGTTGCCCCCAACCTGGACGCCACCTGCGGGTCCCAATCTACTTCCTTCAAAGCCAGAGAAAACTGGCTTTCCGGGTTGTCGGGCGGTGTCAGGGCTCCACGCCGGTGTTTCGGGCGTCCCCCTCCCCGCCGGCCTCTGCTCCGAGCACCACGCGGGGGAGCCAGGGTGCCCACGGTGGGTGAGAAATACCATGCACTCTGCCTCCGTGGCTGTAAGGGGCAGGTGCACGGGACGGCGGGCTGGCCGCGCCGGCCGATGGGCAGCAGGTGGACCGAGGGGCACCAGGACCTGGGGACCAGTACACGGAACTAGCGACCAGCCGCGGCAAAGAACCCCGCCGTCCCGCCAGGGGGCGGGCGAGTGCCCTGTCTGCGGTACTGCGCCTGCGCACGGCACCTACTGCGTCCGCTCTACGCATGCGTGACGTGCTCACAGGACCTGGAAGATGGCGGCGTCCGCAGTCTGCCGGGCAGCCAGCTCGGGGGCACAAGTGCTGCTGCGCACTCGGCGCCCGGTGAGTCGGCAGCGACAGCGTGGGGCTGCGAGGGGCAGGCCTCGGGA